CCAATAAGGGGCAGCAAGGAGCTTTCCAGGCTGCTGCAGGTGTTCAGAGGAAGGAAGTGGGTGAGCACTGGCAGATGTCAATCACTTTGCTTTCCTTCTGCTCCTGGAGGTAGCAGGAGCTTCTGCTCCTGTTCTGTTTTACCTACGTCCTGGGGGAGAGGAGTGTTTACCTTGTACTCTGACCCCGCCCTAGTCTATTAGGGATCACCCTGTCCTTCCTTTGACCTGCAGTAGTTCCTGCTTGCAGGTGATGACACTCTCATATCTGCCTTGTGGATCTGGGTTCTTCTGTGCAAGCTGTCCACTGAAGCCCTGAATTCGGCCCTGATCTAATAATAGATGGCCCTCCCTCAGGGGGTTTAGTGGCCCACCACCCTGAAGTCTAAGAGAGGGTGAACATCCCTTTTCTAACCCCTCCTAACTGAAGATTTGGCTGCCTGTGTGTTGCTCCTCTCTGATTAAGCCCACCCAGCTCAGGAGGGGAACACAAGCCAGGTTGGAAGGCTGGCTGGGAGATGGCACAAAGGACACAGGTCCAGTAGCCAGCCAGCCTGCCATCAGACATCTCCTGTTTTACCACCTGAATGCCCCCCCACCCCCCCCACACACGTATCTTTAATCTCTCTGGACTTCATCCCACACAGAGGATAGAGATGATTGTGGTACTTGGGCCTGGAGAGAGAGTTCAGCTGCTAAGATTGTGTACTGCATTTGGAGAAGACTTGGGATTTGGTTCCCAACTGTCAATATTGGGTGACTCACAATATCTGCAACTCCAGCTCCTGGGAATCCAAGGCCCTCTTCTAGTCTCCCCAGGCACAAATGCACATACACACATGTTCTCCCCAGGCACACAGGCACATACATGCATGTTCTTCCCAGGCACAAGAACATGTACACACGAGCATGTGCATACACAAATAAAAGTAAAAATATTTTTTTTTCAAAAACGAATGGTCCTCAGCTGGTTCAGCTATAGAAAATGTTAAGTTAGAAATGTTAACAATTCATGCCCACCATAAATTAGCAAGCCCTCCGTACATAATACCTAAAACTCCATTGCTCCATTGGTAGAGTCTCTTCCTAGCATGCATCAAGCCCCAGGTTCCATTCCCAGCACCACAGAAACTGGAAGTGGTGGAGCAGGTCTGCAATGCCAGCTATGGGTAGGTAGAGATGAAATGGTCAGAAATCCTTGGCCACATCAAATTCAAGGCCAGCCTTCAATATGCAAGTCCCTGTGTAAAAATAAAAACAAATAATAACAACAGAAAATGCTATCAACAATAAAATGACCCAGCACCGAGGACCTGAAGGCCTGAGGCACTGCAGAGTCCCACTTTTTGGTGCTTAACAGCTTTGGTGTGTGAAGAGGCCCCTGGGAAGCCCCATAGGCATGGAGCCACCTTCCTATTCAGGCTTGGGGCTTCTGGATCACTTTCTCCCACCCCCATGCCTACAGTAGCCTGCCCCTTGTAGAAGATGCTTTGGAGCAGGTAGCCCCATACTCAGCTGTGCTTCTTAGTAACCAAATGTCTGGCCTCAGGCTCCTCATCTGTGAAGTGAGCAGAAGAGCCCCTGAGTTGCCCCAACTTCCTCAGTTTTGTAAGCTCTGGTACATGCACAGGGAGAGACTGACCAGAGCTGGTGGCTTCTCCGTTTCATCCTAGCAATCAGTCGTACAGGGGAGGGCAGTTGTCTGTGCTTTGGGAGTCTTCACTATCCACCATCCTCAAAGGACTCAAGGCGCGTGTCAGGAGGGAGAACAAGGGACCTTGCTGAAGGTCTGGGGTGTGTCTCTGCCACGGGTATAGAGACAGCCTCAGTTGAAAGCCTTGGGGAGATAGGCTGTCCAGAGCTAGGGTCCAGGAACCATCAGAGGCAACTACATACACATCCTTTGATGGAGCCATTGACTCTGCTCGTGGCGGGCAGCGGAAGGCATTCTCAGACTAGCCTTCAGGGACAGATGGTGCAGCCTGCGGAGTAAGGGACGATGTGGCGAGGAACTGAGCATGGCACACTTGGCTGCGGTTCAAAGCAGGTGATCATGCATGTGCAGAGCCTTGTAAGCGGATCCCACAACACGCTTTAATACATCCCAAAGTGTTGGGCCCTTGCCAACCCACACAGGCAAGGCCGGGGGTGGAAGTGCAAGACAAAACACTTGCTGGTATGCTCGGCCCCCAGCACTACAAAATACAAAAACAAAAGCCGGCAGGAGCCAGGTTGAAGGAGCTCCCACAGGCCAAAAATCTGGAACAAATTGAGCAACCAATTAATTAGACACAACAGTCAGGAATCAGTAGAAGCCATAGAAGTCCATCTTAACAAACAGACGGGCAGCCAAGAAGGGCAGCCTGTGTTACACAGTGCAGTGCTGAGCAACGGCAGGCTGTGGTCTACAGCCACCACGAAGGTGGATACAGCACGGACCGTCCGTGGACATCAAGGCTGTGGCAATGGGTGGGAAATGTGTTGATGAGGCGACTCTGCCTGCCTGCTCTTAAAGTGTGTCCCCACAGAGTTCTTGTTACTTGCAAACGAAAACAGCAGTAATTATATGGCGGAAGAATCTAGCACCACGCTGACAGAGTGATCACAACAGCCGTCAAGATGACTATACACCTGCCAGGCGCACACCACCTGTGCAGGCTTGCAACTGAGGATCTGCGTTCCCATGGAATGATGCACGGGGCAGGACTAGAAATTATTATGGAGGAAACCTGGGCTGCCGTCTGTGGGCTTGCTGCTGCCATGCTTCTTTTCGTTTTGTTTGTTTGTTTTTGTTTATATTTTTTGTGCTTGTTTATTCAATTATTTATTTGTGTGTGTGTGTGTGTGTGTGTGTGTGTGTTTTTTTTTGTTTTTTTTTTTTTGAGACAGAGTCTCTCTCTCTCTATGTAGTCCTGGCTGTCCTGGAACTCACTTTGTAGACCAAGCTGTCCTCAAAATTACAGAGATGCACTTGCCACCACACCCAGCATTATTTTTTGGGCGTATGTATTTATTGTCAGAGGGGGTATACACCATAGCCTGCTTGTGGAGGTGAGAGCTTGGGGATATCAGCTGTGTCCTTCCACCATGTGGGCCTCGAGCATTGAACTCAGGTCCTCAGGTTGCAATTCCCTTTACCAGATGAGCCCTAACATCTGCCACCTCATTTCTGACTGTGTATTAGAATTTAAATCAGGTCACCACTACCGGTATTTTTGACAAAGTGCCTTGGGTATGTTTTGAGAAAGGTCCTATTATCTTTGTATAAATCGAATGGGTGAGAAATTGAAACATGATTTTCACATTCTACATATTAGAATTTGGGAGCCAGAGCTATGACAGGAGAGATTTGCTCCAACTCCTGAGGACACCTAGCCTCTGCTTGACCATCCGGGGCGCTCCTACAGGCACGTGACTCGGGGGACATGGTGTGGGGAGTCCTGATGATGTCAAACCTTGAGTCAGGGTAGCGGTGAAGGGCTGCTGTTCTGTCTGGGTTCTCAGCAGTACTGGTCCACAGGTGGGTGGAAGGAAGCCTGCGGGGTGCAATCTCTGTAGCCCTGCCTTAGGGAGTCTTCAAAGGCACAGTGGATCAGGTGATGGGACAGAGAGAATGGTGCTGCCACCATAATGAGAATTCCACATGTCACCAGATGCAGGCTCATTCATCAGGTCACATACACAATATGTTTTTGCCTTTTTTATTAGATTATTTGTTTTTATTTATTTATGTTGGGCATGGAGTTCAGGACAGTTTACAGGAGTGTGGTGGTCCCAGGGATCGAATCCAGATCCTTGGACTTGGATTTTTTTACCTGCTGAGTCATCTTGCCATCCCTTCCCTCTCTGCCTTTTTTTAGATGAAGTCTTGTGTAGCCCAGGATAGCCTCAAACTTCCTGTGTAGCTGAAGACGTTCTCGAATGTTCTGATTCTCCTGCAGCTACCTCCCAAGTGCTGGGATTATAGATGTGTGTCACCACACCTGATTGATCCATTTCTGGGGATTGAACCCATGGCTTCATGCAAGCTAGGCAAGCACTCTACCAACTGCCCTCCATCCCCAGCCTCTACACAGGCTTTTTTCCCCTAATTACTACACTGAAATACGTCACATGCCACTCAGTCCCTACACTGAAAGCATACAGTTCAGTGCGATTCCGCATGGCATGTTGCTAATTTAAAACATTATAGTTCAGGCACCAGTAAGATGGCTCTGCAGATAAAGGCACTTACTGCCAAGCCTGACCACCTGAAGAGACCCACACCAGTTTGGGAAGTTTGTCCCCTGACCTCCACACATGCTCAGTCTCACTCACACACCCATATACATGCGTACTCACACACAAATAAATGTAAAAAATTGCAATACTATAAATGACATGCCATTTTGCCAAACGATTTTCAGTGTTGTACCTCGGGGTGGCATTGACTGTTTTTGTTTTTGTTTTTGGTTTTTTTTGTCTTTTTTTTTTGTTGTTTTGGTTTTTGAGACAGGGTTTCTCTGTATTGCTTTGGAGGCTATCCTGGAACTCGCTCTGTAGACCAGGCTGGCTTTGAACTCACAGAGATCCGTCTGCCTTTGCCTCCTGAGTGCTGGAATTAAAGGCGTGTGCCACCAACGCCAGACAGCACTGACTGCTTTTATAATGCTGTGCAGCCGTCACCACCATTCATTTCCAAGTTGGATGACTCACCCTGACCTCTTCTTCCAGCTTCAGGGAGCAGCTGTCTGCAGTCTCTACGAACTTTATGCTAGACACCAAGCGGAGTTGCTGTGCCTGCCTTTCCCAGCACAGCACTTTCAGAGTTGGTTGGTGTCGAAGGGATGGGACCCCTGAGCTGAGACAAAAATGGTGGCCCATGAGCATCAAGCACTTGCCACCTCTATGCCATTGAGCCTATGTCTATGCTTGGCTAAGCCAAGCACTGTCTTCCTGCTCTGTCATCTTTGCTGGCCTGCTTGCTCACACCCCTCTAACCTGTCCCCTCTCTCCCCAAACAGATGTGCCTGTGGAGAAGCTGGCCACCATGCCAGCTCTGCGTGTCATCAACCTACGTCTCAACCCACTGAGCGCCGAGGTGCGCGTCATCGCCCCGCCACTCATCAAGTTTGATATGCTCATGTCTCCAGAGGATGCACAGGCCCCTCCGCCTTAGGACGCACTCCCTATGCTCACCCGGGCAAGGGACAAAGGCTACCGGCCTGCCAACCTGAGAGGAGGGAAGCCTGTGGAAGGCCAAACTTGGGGAGCGGGGTGGGAGGGCCACACAGCGTAAAGTGGGAGGGATGAAGCTAAGCCAAGCACTAGAGTGAGCCCTGGTGCTCCAGAGGGAGAAGTTAGGTGAGGCTTGAGCCTGGGCTCAGGGCACTCACCCACTGCTGTGCTAATGTAGGTAGGTTTCTTTCTCTCTCCAAGTTTTGTAGCTTGGGAGGAGGAATGGTAGTGGAGAGGCTTTTCTGCTTGGGACCGCACTGTGGTTCTGCCTCCACATCGTCAGACACCTTCTAAGCTCATGGATGAGCCTTTCATGGGCATTTTATGGACCTTACCATCTGAAGCCTTGTTTCTGGTGTGAGAGCCAGACACCATCCTGAGAAGAGATGACCTCTGACTATTTGTCACCTTCTGAGGGCTGAACGTAGTCCTTCTTCGAAAGACACCCTTCATGATACCATGTCCTGGCCATCAGAGTGCTTGGAATGGTCAGAGCCTGAACTAGATGCCTAGGTCCTGTGGTTGGGTCCTGTAAGCAGAGGTGTTTATGAAGGCTGGGGTACGGATGGGCAGTTCCAGGCAGCTCATCCTCCCTTGTACAGTACAGACAAGGGGAAGAAGTTCTATGCATTCTGCTCTGTCCCTCCCTGATGATGGCCCAGTGTGGCCAGGCGTCATCTCCAGGGCCACAGGAGAGGTGGCCCAGAGAAGACAAAGCCATCTGCACCTGGGACTTTGACCCAAGGTCCTTCTTTGATCCCCTTCATCGTGGCCTCCCTCTGGTTGCAACCTGGTTGCCTTGTCCTGACCCAGGACCACCACTCTCAAGGCTATCACGATAATCACCAATCACCTGCCATCTCTAGGACCTTTGCCTGTGGCCTAGGGGGTAGCCAGAGAGTAGGGTATCCAGCTGTCCCAGTGTACGCAGAACTATGTAATTTCCCGGGAGTTGGCTGGGCACTCACCTCTGGTAAGGCCTATACTTGTGGACATCCCTGGTCCCCTCAATCTCCAAGTGTCTACCTCCTTACCTGAGCAAGCAGGCCTATCAGCTTCCCTGGCCCTGGCTGGTGTACACCATTGTGTAAGTCTGTGAAAGCAATGGAGGCCCCAGGACACAGGCAGGGCTTTGGCACTTGGTCTCCCAAGGTTCTACAGTTTAGAACTAACACTACTGCTCCAAGCAGAAACCTGTCATAGAGTTGTCTGGGTTCTTGTCCTCTCACAGTACTCCTGGCTCTTGATAAGGACTCAATAAGGGCATTGCTGGTATCACTAAGGGTTATGTGTCCTAAGAGAAACTTCCCCTATTCTGCTCTCAACCCAAGGCCACTCAGCCAGATGAGGAAGACATAGGGGCCAAACAAGGTCTGGGTACATCCCAAGACTGGTCTGGCTCCTCCCATCCTGTGTCCCTAAGTTGGGGGTTTCACCTTGTTAAAGAAGAGGGGGTCTTTTCTGGGATGTAAGAGGGATCCTATGGTTGGAGCCTAGCATTTCCAAGTATGGGCAGGTTAACATAAATACGCTGAAAATGCAGCCTCTGGCGGTGTGCACCTGTCATTCCAGACCTTGGAAAGCTAAGACTATAGAATTGTAGATGTGAGGCCAGCCTGTGTTACATAATGAGAGCCTATCTCAACTTGACAACAGCAGGCAAACAGAAGAAAGGAGTGTCTGGCATCTTATAGGCCTGTGGGTGACCCCCCCCCAAAAAAAAAAACCTCACTGCAAAGTCTTCATCCAGGGTAGATAATGACTTCCTTGTAGCCATATAGATGGAGCCTCTCAGTTAACATTCCCTTGCCTATAGACTTGCATACAAATCTCTGGGAGAGTGGCTGGCATCTCAAATGCCCTCTTAGAATCCCATCCCTCAGATAGTAGAAGCAGAAGTGTCAGGAGTTCTAGACAAACCTCAACCTAGAATAAAAGGAGTCTCCCGCTGCGTGAGACTCTGTGAGGAGTGTCACGGTGTGAGACTCAGTTGAGGGCCTGGGTGACCTGGGTGCGTTCTCACAGTGCAGAGTGAATGCCACGCCCTGACACACACTCTTCCATGGATCTGAGTATATGCTTAGCCTCCCACTAGCAGCACTAGGAGACCCTTGCATCTTAGGTCATTTCTTAGTCTTTGCTTCCCTGGAATGGTCACTGTAGTGATTACTAGATGGTGGCTAGGTGTGTTCTGTCATCCCCCCACACCACTTTGGTTCATCCCTGCATGGCAATTGGGGTTGCTCCTGGAAGTCATTCTCTATGCTGCCTAGACATTATGGTCTGGCCTGTCTGGACAAGCTTGGGCAGTCAGAAACCTCCAGGTCCAGGCTACCAGTGTAAGGAAGCCCTTTGCTTCAGTCTGCAATAGAGGATGGATGTGTTAGTCTTATCTGCCTGGTAGTGTTTGGTTTTCTTTCTTTCTTTCTTTCTTTCTTTCTTTCTTTCTTTCTTTCTTTCTTTCTTTCTTTTTCTTTCTCAGTGTGTGTATGTGGTATTTGATTCATTCTTCCAGCACACACTCTGGGAATCAGAGACCGGATGTCACCTGCCCACCTTTAAAGGGAGACTGCCTCTGTGGTGGAAGGCTTGAGTTATAGAGTTTGGTTCTCGAAGTATCAGCTGCTACAGTCATTAGATGAGCTGGGCCTGCCTGCCTGAGTCCATTGGGAGTGAGCTGTGGACTGTGGGCGAGAAGGAGTTGGTAAAAAAGATCATTAGACCCGAAATTTGAGATGCCAGCCACTCTCCCAGAGATTTGTATGCAAGTCTATAGGCAAGGGAATGTTAACTGAGAGGCTCCATCTATATGGCTACAAGGAAGTCATTATCTACCCTGGATGAAGACTTTGCAGTGAGGTTTTTTTTGGGGGGGGGGTCACCCACAGGCCTATAAGCAACTCCTTGCCCATGCTCTGTAAAGAAACCCAATAAACTCATTGCTTCCCCAGGTTTAACTTTGGTGGAATCATACTTTGTTTTGTCAATGGGATCATACAGTGGGAAGATAGACATTATTTACATCTCCCCCAGGAGAGGAATTCTCAAAACTACAAGGTAAAGGAAGCTACACTGAACCCTGGTGGTGGTGGCTGCACGCTTTTCATCTCAGCACTCAGGAGGTAGAGGCAGGTGGATCTCTCTGAATTGAAGGCCAACCTGGGCTACACAGAGAAATGCCATCTCCAAAGGGGGTGGGGGCAGGACGACACGGGACTGGAGAGATGGCTCTGCTCTTCCAGAGGATCAGGGTTCAATTCCCAGCACCCACAGGGCAGCTCACAACAGTCTGTAACTCCAGGATCCAGCATCCTCACACATTCATTCAGGTAAAACGTCAGTGCACACAAAAAGGAATGAAAAGAAAAGCTGTACTGGGGCAAACCCACGGAATGGACACCCTGCAACAGTGCCCTGCAGAGAGTGGATGTGGGCCTGGAGAAGTCTGTGTCTTGGAAGGATGATCAGCTCATGTCCCCGTTTTCCCACACTGGTGGCAGACATTATACCTTTTGTTACTCATAACCCCACCCCCCGTCCCAGGTTCTCTGAGCAGAGTCTTGCACTGGGAGATTGTGATACTGGTTAAAAGTACAGCAACTCTGCTCACCCCAGGGACAACTTCAGAGGCTCAGGTTTGACTGGTGCTGTCCAAACAAGCCCTCCGATGGCTTTGATGGCTTTGATGGCTTTGACATTCCAGCTAGAGAACTGCTGTTCTGGGTTCAGGCCTTTTTTTTTTTTTTTTTTAGTTGAATCGGCCAACTTCAATTGGAATTGTAAAACCAGATGCACTACAGCTTTTATTGAATAGACACAGAGCGCCCAGCAGGTACCAGGCACATTATGGTTGTTAACGTGTTTATCCCTTGGTGCTATCTTAGCAGCCCTGTGATTTCCAGAAATCTCTGCCTCTCTCCAAGCCGTGGTTACTACCTGCAAAATGAAGGGGCCATGCTAGGAATTCCCAAGGAACTTTCTGGAATCACACATTGCTTGGATTCTAAGGGTTCTGCTATTTAATGTCCCCTGCAAATCAAACCTTTCCTGTCAAATGCCAGCTTTCAGGACTTCAGCTGACAGAGCCCCACTTACTCTTCCTGTAGGGAGTTTGTTCTGAGGAGGCTGAGATTTAGTTTTCCATGCAGATAGGAAGCCTTGGTCAAAATGGGGTGATTACAGTGCAGTTTAAGATGGGTGGGCTGAACATGCACAGGGCAGTGGTGGTGCACGCCTTTGATCTCAGCCCTTGGGAGGAAGAGGCAGGCAGATCTCTGAGTTGAAGGCCAGCAACCTGGCCTACACAGAGAAACTCTCAAAAAAAGACACGGCAAGGGAGCATTTGGGGATAAAGGGCTCAGAGAGTCTTGGGATTGTCAATGGTTGTTAATATAATTAGACGCCTGTTAAGTGAAAGTTCCTGAGTTGAACTTTTATTTCCTGGGCAGGAGGATCCTGGAATGGAGTGTTGTAAGATGACAGAATAACAGAGTTCATGGCGATATGGCAGTGTGGGACCAGAGGATGTGAATTGCTTGTTTTCCCCAAAAGAGCATGTTGGACCCCTAGAATCCTGCTTTGGAGCTACTATGTGTCTGAAATGTACTTGTCCCTTCTCAGAAAGCCAGTCAAGGGATTGAGGAGAGTTGCTCTTTACCTCAATAGAGTCCTGGGAGAGAGGCCATGGCCAGAAAGGGCAGGTCTAGGATCAGAGGTAGGTTTGAGTTGGAAAGTTCTCAAAACAGTCAGAAGGGGACACAGGTTGCTAGTGCTCATGAGTTCCTAGTGTCCACTTGTCCCCCAGAGGGAACTTGTTTTGCATTTTAAAATTTTATATGTATGAGTGTTTTGGGCTGCATGTATGTGTGCCTGTTACCCGAGGAGGTCAAGAAAGGGCATCAGATCCCCTGGAACTGGAGCCACAGATGGTTGTGATCCATTAGGTAGGTGCTTGGAACTGTACCTGAGTCCTCTTCAAAAGCATCAAGTGCTCTTAACCAGTGAGCCCACTCTCTAGCTCCCTGCCCCCAAGGGACTTGTGTGTCCTTGTTTGCTGTACCAGCATCACCCTCCTACCAACAGACCTTGCTGGAGGGGTGAGCACATGACCAGGAAGCATCAGGTCCAGGACTTTAGGATGGGCTGTTAGCTTCTGCATGCCCAGGGTCTTCGGTTGAGCCTGAGCCTCATAGGAGGCCTGCTTGCATTGGCAGTGACCAATGGCTTTCTCCAGATGGTATGATTCTGGAAAATGGCTTCTTCAAGCCTTTGCCTCCCCATCCAGTCAGCAGACAAGCTCACACTACACAGTTGGGTACATCAGGGTTACCCACCTGCCATGCCCCAAGACTACCTCTCATAGCCACTTAATGCCCACCACTGTGAGCAAAAGCCCTCAGTGTTCACACAAGAACATAGCCTCTTGTTGCCACAAACGGCTGCAGGACATAAATCCATCTGGAGGCTGGTTGGGTACATTTTTCGTGGTTCAGAAGCTTTTACAAAGCTGTGAACCCAGCACCTGAGAGGCTGAGGCAGGGGGATTGTTGTGATGTGGATCCCAGCCTGGGCTACAGCATCAGAACCGTGTCCCAAAGAACAAAACATCAATAAATCTATTAACACCTGTCTGAGCTGTTCATACAGCTAATGAGGCTGTGTGATGAGGCTGTGGAGGCCTTGACAGCCAGCTGGAGCGCATGCTATTCCACAAGAGCAAAACCAGATTCCTTCCAGCAGAAGTACCTGTGCACTCTATCTGCTGTCAATGGCAACCACCTAAGACAACACCTTTCAGGATAAGCCCCGAGGGCCTGTCTGACTGCAAGAATTCACAGAGGGGGTTCATAGTGCAGTTGCTTTGCTCTAACTGACACCTTCCACTTGGGGTGCAATGAGATTAGGGGTTGTGCAAAGGGTGGTATCAGATCTCAGGACTGGGTCTAAGAATCACGTGGGGCAGCTGGATGGTGGTGGTGCACACCTTTAATCCCAGCACTTGAGAGGCAGAGGCAGACAGATCTCTGAGTTGAGGCCAGTCTGGTCTACAGAGTGAGTTCCAGGACAGCCAGGGCTACACAGAGAATCCCTGACTGGAAAAACAAAAAAGCATCACATGTGGGCCTTCTAAGATGCTTAATCCCAGGCCCACCTGAGCTGCCAGACAGACGGACTCTGGAAATAGGGCCCATGCACCTTAAAGAGTTCCTGCTAACCACCCATACAGCACCCCAAAGACAGCACCCAGAAGATGCTCTGGACCCTGGGTCACTTCTGCTCCACCTCCCGAAAGGCTCTCCATTCCCTTCAGGGGATGTCAAGGGCTTGCAAAGCTATTTTGGACTGAGCACCATCTACCACCTGTCAACTTCTCTAATAGACCACTAGGACACACTCCCAACTCCCAAGTTTTCCTTTACCCATAGAGCTTATCACCTGCTATGTAACCAATGAGCATTTATCTATGACCATTATTTACACTCACTACTACATGGTCTTGGTTTCCATAGCTGTTTTTCCCTCCCACCTCTTGAGCAATGCCT